CCAATTCAAGTGGCTCTTACTTTTTTCAAAACAATGCACCTTTCTCCTTATTTCATTAGTTCCACTCAAAAGCCAAACCAACCACCCCACACTTTAACTTTTACACAGTTCATAATAATTCAAGTGCTCATGAGAGGTTAAAAGGTTCAAATAGATGATTAATTCAAACAAATGGGTAAGGCTTGTAATGTGGTTGCCAAAGAAACAAGATTACAGGCTCAAAGGGGTTAACTACGATACATAACAATTAGGTGGGTAAAATATACATATCTGGCTCAACAAAGAAACGCCTATATCACTTCCAAGACTGAACAAAACTACTATTCCGCTTTGCAAACACACAGGGCAAGTTCTAGGCATCAAATGCAATGCACAGAATATAACAAATCCTTACACACACATGGCACATAACTCATTCAGGATTAGTTTCATCAAGACACTCTAGTCAAAGTAGTTAAGCAAATTTAAGATCATAAAATTTAAGGTACTTATACAAGAGTCAAAAAATGAGCCTAAGCGTCACAACCAAAGTACTCACTATTCTCAAGGCATAACAAAGTCAAGAGATATTGCTTCAATTCAAAACACAACACAATGGCTCCTACTCCCCAAAAAAAAAAACTAACTACACCCGGTTCAAACAAAACCCTTGGAAAAGAACCGTGGCACAAAGAAAAACCAATGGAGAATTATTACACTACCTACAAAGAAAATCTTTTTATTTTATTTTTTTCTTTAGACTTAAATCCCTCAAGAAAATTGTCTAATAGATCCATCGTCGGGAAAAATCCAATCTTTTCTATTTAAAAAAAAAATTTTAATTAAACTAACACAACTAAAATAGCATAGAAAGTCACCCAAACAATCTCCTCACCCCACACTTAAAATTGTGCATTGTCCCCAATGCACACCCATACATACAAAAGGGTAAAAGAAACTCCCTGGTAGGCCAAAGGCCGAAGCACTAGCATCTCACGGGGTACTCAGACTTCTCCCAGTCCTGGTCCTTCGTGCGGGTACCTCACACTTAGTTCCAACCATCTGCTTCGCTGTTGCATCCTTCCAATAGCTTTGCTTCCATGCTCCTAGAAAATCAAAAATTGACACTAAAAAAATAATACAATTAAAAAAAAAAAGCAGTAAAGCTGGGTTGCCTCCCAACAAGCGCTTGATTTAACGTCGCGGCACGACGTGAATCATTTTTTGCCTCCACCTCGAGCTTATGAATTGAACCCCAAGTTTTGATTCAAGCTTATGATTATGGTCATGGGGCGGTGGAACGAATCTAACTGGCCCAAGGAAATAATGTAGTATTCTGCACTCCTTGGCCTTTGTATGAGGTATGTAATCCTGACTTTCTGGCAAGAAGAATTCCAGAATATATGCACCTTGTTCCTCATTCCTTGACTCTTCAATTGGTTCGGATGACTCTATTTCCATATCAACATCCAAACATAATGTGGAAAAATGCTTGGAGTGTGGACCAATGCGCTCAAACACATGAACTTCAGGACTTTCAACATCCTCAACATCAATGATACTAGAGTCAACAAAATTTATATCCTCAAAGTCCTTGGCTGGCTCTAGTCTCACTTCTTCAACATTGACATCCTCAAATTGGAGTTGGCTAGGTTGTTGATGTTCTACTCTGACCTCCTGAATTAACACCTCAAATTCATGCCCTTCTTGGCTACTATCCTCAATATTGGATTGTTGAGCATTAAAAGCTCCAACCATTTGACTCAATTGAGCCTCCAACTTGCGAATAGTTGCCTCTTGCCTTTCTATCTGCAATTGTTTTTCATTATTTTGTTTCAGAAGGCACTTTAACATATCCTTGATCTCCTTCAGGTTTGCATCCCCAGGTTCTTTGTTCCTGTTAACTTCACAAGAAAAGGTAGAACCATCATAGTAAGGGGTTGGGGGAAGATAAGAAATATAAGCACAACCATGAAAGTAACCATCTTGACCACCACACATATTGCACACATTCCACACTTAAGATTGAGTTGGTGCACATAACTCGCTCTCGGAAATATTTTGATAATTTTTCCCAGGGTGGTTTCCTCCACTAAACGCATAAGAAGGATCAAAAGTAGAATTACCAACATCAAAACTCTCATAATTCCAAGATGCCATGTTTCTCAAATTAATAAGTAAAAAAAACAAAAAAAACAAAAAATCAAATACAAAAAATAAAAATAAAAGTTCAAACTTGAAACCTAGCTAATATGTACACCTGCAACTACACCGTTAGTTCCCCGGCAACGGCGCCAAAATTTGATCACGCCCAACTCTAGTCCTAAAAAGGATAAGCGGTCGCTGCAAATATGATCGGTCTAAAAGTCCGGAGTCGAATTCCACAGAGAACTAAGGCTTAGCTATATCTGTTTAATATCACTAAGAAGACAAGTTTGAACAATTTTCTAAATTATAAAGATTGAGATTTATATTTCTAACTAATTAACTAGCAATACAAAGCGGTAAAATTATCAACTAACGAGACAAAGGGTTGGAGACTAAATTAAGGAGGTCTAGAGTTATGATTTTCCCAATTGTCGGAATCCTTACAGCTATGTTCTCTACAATTTCACCGATGTATTCTCTACCGATCGTGAGCACTTTAGGTGCCGTAATTCTCTCTCGAGCAACTACAACAATTTAATAGACATATTCTCTCGAACTATGCTAGTTGCTTCATCTAACTGCTCACTAGGACCACGTCAAGGCTTTGTTATTTCTAAACCTACCTTTAAACCCAATGTATTGATTTCTCACATACATTAGGAGTGATGTTGTTCAACAACTACCTAAATATGTACTCTCTCTCAAGCAGTACACACTAAATAGACACAGTCAATTGATGGTCATTCAATCAACTGAAATAAGCACGTATTTGAACAAATAGACAAGTTCAAAGGTTAAATTGTATTAAAACATAACAAGAATTCATCTTCCAAGAGGTTCCATCAAAACCCTAGATAACAAATTAGCTATTCATAATAGTATATAAAACTACAATACTAAAAGTCATAACCAACAATGAAAAATAGAAAGAGGAAGGAAAAACTCGTAGAAGAATTATCCGCGTTGCTCCTATTGTGTCTCAGCCTCCTTAGGTCGAATCTGTGTCAAAAATTGATCTCCTCCCCTCAAAATATCTTTTTCCATATATATATATATATACCAAGTAGGGTCGGGCCCAAACTATTATACCTTCTCCTACGCGAAAAAGGATAATTTTTTCAGGTCTGGACGCCGCGGTCGTGGTCAACCGCGATACGAACGCGGTATTTGGCAAGTATACTGCCTCAGCCCGCCTCAGGTCCGTGGTCGCGGTTTCGACCGCGCTTTTCACCCTGTTTCCTTTGGTATTTGGAAAAACGTAAAACATGAAAGTTGTAGCCCTTTGAGTTAGCTTTCCAACCATATATTGTGGTGCCCAAATGGATTTCTGAGAAAAAAGTTATGTGCATTTTACTAGACAGTGCGCAATATGCCTACTCGATTCTTCGTTTTGTTGCTCTATCATCTGTTGATCCCCGAATATGATCCCGGCTTAATTCCTTGGGCTTTTACTCAGAAAGCTCCAAATCACTTGAATTCATTCCATAACATCTATATAGCTCGGAATCACTCCTACAAGGCATAAAACACACAATTAGTGCAAAACACTAACGATTAAAACGCAAACTCAACTAAAGTGCAGTAAATTTGAGTGTAATAAGCGACTAAAATACGTAATTATAGCCTATCATCAATCTACGTTTTAAAAAAAGTTTAACTGATACCCAATTTTTGAATAACTTCAGATATATACACTTTTCTTTTCTTCTTTACTGTTGTTTTCTTCTTCTTTGTGCTTAGAGTTTCTTCTTCTTCTTAGTTGCAAAATGAGTTTGTTAAATTTTTTGTTATTTTAACAATTTGATGATTGAGATTTTTTCTTTAAGATATTTGTAAGTTATGTTTCAAATTTTAGCTTATTTGGAGTAGATTTGAGCATTGACTCGTATATTGGATTGTTGAAATTCGAAAAACAAGTTTATGTTTCAGAACTTAAGATTCGAAATCTGAAGTTGCATTCAATAGATTGAACTACTCAAGATTCGAATTTATGAAGTTGTATTTGAAAGATAGAAGAACTTCAGATTTAATTTATGAAGTTGCATTGAATGGATTGAACTACTTAAGATTGAAATTTCTAAAATTGCATTTAAAAGATACAATAACTTCATATTTGATTTCTGAAGTTATATTGAAGAGATTGAACTACTTCAGATCTGAGCGGGTATACTTTGTAAAATTTTGTACAATATGGGTATAATTTCATTAGTGGCCCTAAAAGTGGGTATATATAAAAATGCCCCCAAGTTCTTGCCAATATCAGTCCTATACCATTTTGCACCATATATTTTTAATTTATCTTTCCTAACAGCCTTTTAAATCTAAGATTTTTACTAGTCTGAATCTTTTTTACCATAAGTAGTACTTCAATCCTAATTCCATATCACTAAAAATTATGGTGGAGTAAGTAGCCCACCTCCTAAACTAAAAATCTCGAGTTCAAGCCTTCATATTAAGTTTTTTTTTACTCTAAGGTGTGATTTTTCGACACGAATATAAATTAATCAAATCTCAAAGGGAGTAGTGAATAGGACTGCGAACGTCCGTCCCATGAAGCGCCAGGGAACCATGCATTCCTCTCCGGCTGGGCTCTCACGTGTCCGTTAATACCAAACGAGAAACTTAAAAAAAAATCCCAATTTTATCCCTATATTGCTTAAAATTAATTTCCTTCTTAAAATATCAACCCACAAAAAAACTTTAACAAAATGCCAAAAATTTCAAAATTCAAAAAAGAAATTCAAAATCCCCAACGGCTATCCAGCTTGGCACTACAACTGCCACGTGTACCACTCCCCAATCGTTTAAACAACACTTTCCTATTATTCCCTCCCAAATATATATACTATTCAAAAAAACAAAAATATATACATTTAAAAAAAAATACACTATCAGCTTCAATCACGCCCCCTTCTTCTTCCTGTATATTCGCCTCCAATGGAGTCATCACCCACAGAAGAAGATTTTATACCAGCATCGGCTTTTTTCACTCAACCGCCGAATTTAGTGTCGTTATCACCATTCACGCCGTCAGTTCCGCCGTCACCTCGGCGGCTTTCGAGCTGTTATTCTCAACCAAACCAACCAATAAAAGCGAAAAGACAACTCGCTTGGGTGTCTTTACAAGGACGGCTTGTCGGTGCTGAGGAATCCAGCTCAGCTAAAAAAATCGGCGGCGGGTTGAATGCTAAAGAAGCTGTCGTATGGGAACTGTTTAGTCCTATTCATAGGATTCTTATTGTTGCTGTTGTTGCTGTTGCTGCGGCGAATTCCAAGAGGAATAAGGAGATTTTACGGCTGAAGAAATCTGTTGAACTTAGGGTAAAGTTTTGTTATTTTTGGTAAAAATGGGTTTTTTGTTTGTGTACTTCTTTAATTGCGCAAAATATAAGTTTAATTTAGTTCAATTTATTGTTGATAGTGTTAATTTTTTAATGCTGCAGTTACATTACGACTTGGAGTACTTAATTAATAATTTGATTTGATTTGGTTTGTGGAATTTTTAGCATTTTGATTAGGTATTTAATAGGGGTTTTGGGTTTTATTTAAGCATTTCTTTTTCTTTTCGAATTTTATTTAAACATTTCTACTGTGAAAATTCCTATTTTCCCCCCATTTCCTTTTGAGTTAGGCTTTTATTTGACCAATTTTATTGTTTTTGTCTATTAAAATTTTTTTTTCTTCTTGTTTTGCTTCCTAAAAATTATTCTAGTTAGGCTTTTGTTTCTATCAATTTTATTGTTTTTGTTTTGCTTCCTAAAAATTAATTTAAAAATTGTAAGTTGTTTAGTGAAACAAAATGCTCCTTTTGTTGAAGATTACATCATGTTGTTTTAATTGGATATGGAGTTTAAGGTGTGAATTGACTTATATTATGTAATAGTTGAAATTTTTGTTTCATAGGACAAAATGTCTCATCCTATTTTATATTTAAATGAATTTGCATTTTTGAAAGTTGTGATGTTTTAAACGAGAAACGTATCTGTGATATATATGTTTTGTTTTTCCTTATGTCAATAACTGTATTTGCATGAGCTTTAGTCTCTTTCAGGTTCTCAATATCTTCTTCTATTATGATTTTTGTCCAGGATCAAGTGCTATTAGGCATGCAACAAAAGCTAGATACTTTATGTGAACAAGTTAACTATTTCAAGGATCAGCCAGAAATTGCACTTGATACAAATGGGTGTTTTCTTTGTGAGCAACACATGAATCAGTTCAACAATTCTTATGAGGTATACTATCCTGACATTCTCATTTAGGCCCTTGTATTATGTCACTGAAAGTCAATTCTCTCTTTTAGATAATTTAGTCTTTGGTACTCCTATGGAACTTGAATCCCCTGCTTACTAATTTATTATCTTACTCAGAGGAATATGATGAAGGGTGCGGAGGTGTTTAAGTATGAAACGCCTCCAGCAGCAAATCAGGCTGAACAAGAAGAACGCCGTATGTCTGATTTGTCCGATTGGGCTGGTAGCGTCACTTCCTCTGTAGACACTCAGGTAAACACAACATCTAAATTCAACTTCCAAAACTTTGACTAATGTTAGAGTTCTCCTTTTGTTTTCCAACAGTGACCCCAAGTCCACAATTTTTCTCTATGCATTCTCATGTTCAAGAAATTAGATGAGCAAGCTTTCCAAGGGGGAAAGAAAAGATGTTTGTAAAGGGATAAGTATGCACTTCATGAGTTTGGATATATTGACATTTCAGTAGTTTATGTGCACAAAAACTTAGAGACAGCTTCTTAGTGCAGATAGATTTTTAAGTGTTGGAAGCTTGCAGTTTAGTTAATGTAGCGGACAAAATTTGCAAGCTGTAGTTCCAAAATTAATTCGTTAGTTAGTTTGTTCCTTGTTCCCACTTCCCTCCTAGAAGTCAAAGTTAAAAGCTAATCACTGATGTAACCACCATTTAGATGCCATTTTAAATCTTTCTTTTAGATCTTTACTGATATGAGACATTGAATTTATAGCACTGTTTCTTGAGGAACATGATATGGGAACGTATTTGTTGCTCTTGTTTAATCGTTCAATATTGAGCGTGAAAACTCAAGAGTAAGTTCTTGGTATCTAATACCCTCCATCAAATATTATTTATGTTGTTTTTTGCTTTTATGTTTTGATGGTATTTGCTGCTACCACATTGAAAAGGCCTAAATTGCTATAATGCATTATTAATCGATTGACTTATGCACGAATTGTGGTGTTTCAACAAATAGGTTCTGAGAGATTTTACCTTAAAAAGTTAAGCATTGAACTTGTTTAGAGAAACACGAAATATTTCCCTGAGCATTGTGGTCTAATTTGCAACGTATGTTATTCCTTTCAGCTGAATACTTTAGCAGTTGAACAAGATTTTCATAATCTCCGAAAGGAATGTGAAGAGAAAGATGCCGCCATCAAGGAGTTATCCACTTTTCTTCAGTCATCAGAAGCTTTTGGTGCAAAGGTACAGTATTGTTCTTTTTATAATCTTAAAGAAGAAACCTGTGGTGTTCTTTTTACACAAAAAGTGGTAATACCCACCTTTATTATTAGTTATAATTTTGTTCTATTGGTTTGGTCTAACAGAGGATAGGAGAGCTGGAAGATATCATACGCAGAAAGAATACAATTATAACTAAGCTCAAGAAAGATATTTTGATCTTAGAGCAGAAGGTAATGATGCCTCTTAACAGATGCTAGCATTTCTGTGATGTTCCGTATATGTAATTTAAATTGTTGCAGCAAAATGTCGTCAAGCTATTATACAAAATAGTAGTAACTGTTTGTTCCCAAGATTTAAAGAACTATTTTTTGTAAATCCACAGTGATAGACTATGGAAGCAAATGCCTAACAGTATATTTGCTTGAGCAAAGTTGCGTGAAACAAAATGTCCAAACCTTATGTTTCCAACTAAATGTTATTTCTACTTAGTCTAGTAACATGACTCATTAGGTCAAAGCAAAGCTTGAACTATATATGGCGTCGACTTAGTATCAAATTTCATGCATTGTGATGGAAATTTGGCTTTTAACAGGTCGTGAATCTAACAAGACTTAGAAGACCATCTTTCTCTTCAACAAGCTCAAAGAAGGTGCAGCTTCCTCCATTGACAGATAACATTGTTTATGACATGGACAGTACTACTAGCCCTTCGTCTTCAGATTCAGATAGCTCCCCAAGGAGAATGGCTCAAGTTCTTACTGCTAAAAATCAAGACATCCTCGTTAAGCAGTGTGAGAGTGCTTTAAGGGAAAACCAGAAAGAGCAGCAGGTAGAAAGCCTACCTTTATTGGTGAAACCAACAGATAGACATCCAAAGTCACGACCAGTAAGCCCACTGAAGGAGAAATCATTGAATCAGACACAGGATTCAGTCTCCAAGCTGAAACCAAAGCAGGTATCATCTGTTAGCGCAGAATCTAGAAGGAGGCGACCCCCTGTTGCTAAGTCGAAGCATGCTGTTACAGAAAAACGATGGCTTTAGTAAGTATTTCTCTTTCTTACTCAAGAGACTACACTTACTAAATTTACTTTCAAATGTTTGGTTTACATTCCAGTGAATATAACATTACCAAAAGCTTTACTGAATGATAACAGAAGAAAATCTTGTATCGTTGTCTGTTTGTTCCATTACATTGAATATCTCTCTTCACCATAAGTTCATAAAAATCTTGAAGGAGTGAGCACAGAAACCTGTGTAGCTAGAAATATACGTTAGTATGTAACGAACATAGACGCACAGCAGCACAGTTTAAACACAGAACACCTAACATTAGCCTTTTATTGTGGTTAACTTTTGATTCCATTCTTCAGGCTATTGAAGAACGAGCATTTGACAGCTCCTCGTATGTGGACCTGAAAGCGCTTCAATGCAGCTTCATCAAACTCTATGGCTGCTTCTGCAACCCATTGTTTCCTTCGACGAAGATGTCAACTTGACAGCATTATATATGTAGGTAGTAATAGTAAGAGTACATGAATTTAGACAAAAAGTGATGTAACTAGTCTTATATTTAGTTAAACTGGTAATACTGTCTCAATGGTTGTTTCAGGACAATCTCACAAATCTGCTATGAGATGCATTTTCCTTCGTCCCAAGTCTTTATACAGCATTTGGTTTTCAACATAAAACTCTGCATTACTAATTTAATTTTTGCATAATTAATACACGTTTAATTTCTGCTATTAAACTCTGCATAATTAATTCAATATTTAGTTTCCGGTATTAAACTGAGTAAATTACCTGTTATTTACACGGAACATGATAAGGAATAAAAATACGTGAATGCAGAGTTTTAAACATACAGCATTTGGTTTTCAACATAAAACTCTGCATTACCAATTTAATTTTTGCATAACTAATACACGTTTAATTTCTGCTATTAAACTCTGCATAATTAATTCAATATTTAGTTTCCGGTATTAAACTGAGTAAATTACCTGTTATTTACACGGAACATGATAAGGAATAAAAATACGTGAATTAGTAGTATTCACGCGTGTCAAATACTATTATTCAGTGTATAATTTTTTTAATATTATCATTTTTGGCATACTATTATTTAATCGCGCACGTCAGTTAAAAAATCTTTACCATAGTCCAAAAATAAATTGTTTGTTGTAAGTTGGAAAATTGGCTACATCTTTTTGCTGACCTCGAAACTTTAATTAAATAAAAGAAAACCTTGTCATTTGATGGGAACACATATACCTATGAGAATTTTTAAATACATTATATTGTCTAGCACTGTACTAAGTGCCAATTAAATTACTTACCAAGAAGTTTACATATTAGGTATTTCCTGTTTTCATAAATTTTATTATCCAATAGTTTTTCTATATAGTGTAGCAGACTATACATATTGATAGGAATTGTTCCTCCTTGTGTTATGAATATTTAGATTGAAAATTAGCCTAGAGTATTTTTTTTCTTTCATACGATATTGTCAAGTCATTGTATCGGAGCAATAAGTCAAAAATGTTAAATCGACTAGGGGTGTACAAAGAAAACCGATAAACCGCACCAACACGATAATCCGAGTCAAACCGAGAAAAAAAACCCGATTGTGGTTTGGTTTGATTTGGTTTGGTGTTGGAAGAAAAAACCCGACCATGATTGGTTTGATTTGGTTTTAACTAAAAAAAAGTCAAACCGAAACTAAACCAACCCGACATTACATTTATACAATTTAAAAAATATTTTATAATATAAATATTTATTTTAATATAATTTATAAATATTTCTTAAACTAGTTCACGATTTTATCTTTAAAAGTATTATTTAAATTTTGGACTTAACATTCTTGAATGGTCCAATAAATTTTATAGCCCATAAAGATAGTAAGTCAATACTAATGCTAATAAAGGAATTTCAATTCAACACTAGCAATGACAATAGTGTTGGATATCTATTTTTAGTTTTGCATTGATTATAATGAAAATGTATAACCTAGTTTATCTTCTTTTTTATGCTTAGTTGTGTAACTAATAGTACTTATTAGTTGTACTTAGTTTAGCACGACCTATATAGTATTTATAAATTATGTTAATTTTTATTATGGTGTATTAATTAGTAATATTTTCTTTGTGCGATTTTATTATCTATGTTATTGAATATTTGAGTACAATGTTATGACTCAACACATATTATTATTTCATTTTCTTAGAAAATGGTATCAGAGCCTAGGTTACTTGGTCTCGCGAGTCATGAGCCGGTTTAGTAGAGTCTCGTGGATCGGTACGGAGACGTCTGTACTTATCCTCGAGAGGCTGCAGAACATTTAGGAAAACTTCACATTCTTGAATTCTTATCGTGCGTCCTTGATTCAGCTTGAAAAGAAACTCTTGAAATTCCTTCCACATGTTCGTACGCGCGCATGAGCGCTCAGTATCAAATGTGCCTTGATGGCTTGTGATTCCCCGATCGAGGGGCGAGATGTAATCTCTGTGAGTTTATGTTGGGCCAGTCTGGAGGACTTGAGGCCGGATCTTTTCCTATGGCTTGAGCACCGAGGTGCTGATTGTGTGAGCAAGTGTTTCGAACTTATACGTTCGGCATTGCCCCTATTAGTGCGAGTGACGGCTGGTTAGCTACGTGGTGAGTATGTTAGTGCTGCAAGGTGCATCTATGTGACTTGGAGGTGATGAGGACGGCCTACTGGATGATAGAAGAACTATTAGGTGTTTGAATTCCATTGTGATTCGAGGTATAGCCTGAGTTATGGGCGCGTGAAGAATCTTTTCATGTTTCCAGTTGAGAGTGAAGTAAAAATTTTATGTTGCGGTATGAGTTCAGACTCAGGAAGACTAAGCGACTGCCTACAGTTTAGGACGGTGGAAGGTATACAGAAATGGTAGTTGGAGGCAAAGCAGGTGGGTCATCTCCTGCGGAGTGTTCTAAAGTTGTGTGATCCTTATGTTATCTATTAGAAGATCTCATTTACAAGTGAAGAAAATGTGTTGACATCTAAATTGGATCGCCTAGAGAGTGGGCTTAACTGTTGTGTGAGTGAATGCAAGATTTGCAGAAGAGTTAAAAAAAAAATTCTAGATGATTTGTGTTTCCACAAGCTTATGAAGGATTGAGTTTAATCTCACTATGGTATTAAGGCAGCAATGGAGTATGTGCGTTATGAGTTGTTGGGAGTGTTTTGATATATGGCTTCAAGCCAAGTTGGGGAGTTTGCTATTGATTAGCTAATTGTACGGTTATGTGCTATGTTGGTTCCGGTTTGAGGCATGCTGGCGAATCAGTTCTGGTTGCGGAAATTGAGCCGAGGATGGCACGAGTGAAGCAAAATTTTGACAAAGGTTATATGGTGCCTCGTAGATATGTGAGAATCACAGGATGTCTTAAGTTGTTGTTGGTAAAGAATGCTCGGTGCATGGAGCAGGAAGATGTTTGTTTGTATTGGGATGAGGTCATATCCTGCGGTGTCAGAGTGCTAATGAGGCACGGGTGGTTATGTTCGTTTGATCAGGTGAATTGCAGTTTGAATAAGAAGTAAATGACTCTCGAGAATGATTTTAATGTGTTCAAGATTCTACATGTAACAATCAGGTGCCTTAAGGTTGTGTATGTGGTTAGAGACTGTGTTTTCATTGGAAAAGGTCAAGACTTGTGGTATTTTATGTTAATTATGGGATTCTATGTATCAGTATCTGGAAAGTAAAGGTAACAGATTTAGATTCGCAGGAAGTTCTTCAGAGTAAAGTATTTTGGAATGTGGTATTTCTGGGAATATTTGAGAGAGGATTCAGTGGCTTATGGGTCTTAGACAGTGTGGTCTTGTGCTTGGGTCTCGTGTAGTGAGCCTGGGTTGAGGAACTGTGGTGCTACAGCAAGGGGGAATATCAAGTTGATGATGAATCAGAAGGGAAATTAGATATATGGAATAGCTTGATAGTAGACCGAATCGGTATGGTAAGGATATGATTAATTCTTCGTATGTGTTCGAGGTAATGAGCCCTTACAAGAATTTTGTAGCAATTCTCTTGGGTTTTGATGGCTTGCTTAGCTTGGTCGAGTTAGAAGGATTCCGTCCTGGCAGTTTAATTTATGCAAACGGAATTGAGAGAGTTCTTGTTGATTTCTACCATGGTTGAAGAGGTGCATTTTCTACGAATATGAGAGACATGGAATGTGTAATGATTTTTCTTCTAGATGGGATCAATGGAAGTTCTTGACTAGTTGAGTGCGTAGATGTCTGTGGCTCGGAAGGGAGATAAAAGTTTTCCTGCTATCCTTGGATGGTATGGTATATGCGGTATGTTGTGGAGGATCGAGATTTGCCTGTACGAGGTTTCAATTCAGTTCTGAAAAGAAGTTCATAAAACTCTTAGGCAACGGCTAGCCTCAGATAATCAAGGAAATGGTGCTGCTAATTGGAAGCGATTTGACGAGAGTATATGTCTCAGAAAAAGGGTAATGTGATTAAACTGATGATACTTCGGTAGTATTGCAGCATTTTCTTGTTGGATCAACTGGTGGTATTCGGGTTTGCTTGGTGGCACAGGAAATTTTAAAGTATCTATCGTGGAGTGATGGGGTATTTAAGGTGTGGTATGCGTTCGGACGGCAAAAATTGGGATCAGGTATGATTCGTGTGCTATATGGAGTTGGAGACTGGGAGTTCTCATGTACAGGCTATGTCATGGTTGTGGATCGTGTGTATTCGGCACCATTTAGCGGCAATCGGGATTTGGAGGCTCGAGTGGATCTTTATTTGCTGGTATGCTAGATTTTGGATATGATGTTGAAATTCAGACTGGTTGTCTTAGTGTTAGGTGATGCTGAACTATTGCGCTGCGGGCTATGCCGGAAATGCCACGGGTTGAGTGGCGAGGTGCATTGGATTATGTTCTTGCAGAGTGGTTTATATTTCAAAGACCCAGCGGACGGCTGGGAAGGATTGCTTTTCTTAATTGGGCCTTCGTGATGGATGTCAGTGCAGAGGTTCCTACCATTGGTTCCATTCCGGTGTTAAGGGACTTTTCGGATGCGTTTCTTGTGGCCGAGCATGTCGCCGGGCGAGGTTGTGGATTTCGATATTGATTTGGTGCGGGGCACCGTATCGTACGGCTCCGGCAGGAGTTATAGTAGTGGAAGGAGCAGCTTCAGGCTTTCTTGGTAATGAGTTCGTTGCTAGGCCGATGTGGATACGTGTTTAGCTTGAGTTGGCTTGGTTGGCCCCGAATTGTATTGTTGAGGGATAGGTTGATTCGATGGTTATTGAGCTTGTTAGTGATCTGAGGAGAGCTATGAGTTGCTTTTCAGTGTTGTGAGACGTTATGATTTGTTGGTTATGGGCACATGTAGTGCGGTTCTATTGGGGATTCATAGTGAGAGTCGAGCGGGAAGAGTAATTGGGTGTTGCTCGGTAAATGGAGTATTGGTTATGACCTATCGGGTCGCGTGGCATATGTTGTTTGTTTCACCGTGGGTGTAATGAATTGCTTTGGTTCCAGACATCAAATTGTGCGTGGCTGTCGATTTTGAGCATAGTGACTTGAGGTGTTTCATGTGTAACAGTGTTTGGATAGGATCGCGCATTGTAGCGAGGCCACGTGGAGATATGACCTTTCGGGGTAGATTCAGGTGTTCT